ACGAGAGAAATAGTCCCGCCACGGGGGCATAGATAGCCGATTTCGTCGATAATGGAGCCAACGCCGGTGTTATTGACGACGAAGTCAACACCACGACCATTCGTGATTTCCTTGATCTTGGCGGCTTGATCATCGGTTTTGTAGTTCAGACCGCGAACCTTATCACTGATCTTCTCTTGAATAGCTTTAATCTTGTCGTTCGAGGAAGACGTGATGATTGGTGTGATGTTTCCTGCGAGACAAAGTAGCAGGGAGAACATAGAAACACCGCCGGTTCCTACAGACGGTGAGTAGGATGGTTTGAAAATCTGGAGTTTTTGCTCGTACCTTGGAGAAGGGCACTAGCGTGCTCCTGCACAGTTTTCAATGAGTCCAATGAGTTCCAAGCAGTGACGCCTGCGCATGGGAGCATCGAGCCCTGCGGCTGTTTAGTCTGATGTTTTTGTGTATACTCTCTCAATCACTCACCTCTTCCCACGACAAGTTCTTTGGCAAGTGTACTAGGTGCTTTGCTTGGTAGATACCGTACTGCCTCAGTGTGCCTGGACCGTTCGCACCGATAGCCACTGAAACGCTATCGTCGGTTGGGTGAAAGTCGCCTTGGTTGCAAATCGGAGCAACGACATCTCCTATATGGAAGTCCTTGACTGCAGACCCCAACCCAACGACCTCGGCTGCGCAGTCGGAGCATGGGATGCCTTGTTCAGTGATAGGGACGGGGTACTCCTTAACCAGCATAGCGACGTCACGGTAGTTGAGCGATACGGCGTGGATCTTGATGACCACATCGTTGGGCCCAAGGTCCTTTTCTTGAGGGAGCGTTTCCTGGCTTTTCTCAAGAGTGAGAGGGCTTTGACGCGAGGCACTGTCTTTGCCTGCGCTGCGACGGTAGGCTGTGTAGGTAGATGGGTAAGACATGGTTGCAAATGGGTCTGGTGAGATTGTCTTGGATGGCTGCGTAGATGGATCTGATGAATTGAAGGTCGGTATCGCAGGGATCATTGATTGATATAAAGGGCAAACCCATACGCCCCTTCCAAGCAGTATATGGATGCTGATCAATCATTTTGTGGTACATGCTTCGTTCGATGGAGCGAGCGTCACTCGTGGAAGGCGTCATGTAACAAAAACTAGGACTCTGCGATTTGTGAAGGTACGCTACATCAAGCTCGAACGCGTTCTATCGTCGAAACAGTGACATCAATCTCCTAAACATCCCAAGTAGCTTAGTCGGGCCTTCTCAACACTTCGTAGAACGGGAAATTTACGAGCTGGAACATTTCCATGTTACTAGTACGCATTTTCGCCTGCGGGGCAGCGGAGTGGAGCATCACTCCGCTTCCGATCTTTTCGGTCCGCGCGCTGACTATGTACCATTGACCCCCCTCAACTTTGACATTGGAGATTATCATCGAATTTGCGCGAGATTACAACCACAACCTGGAGTATGTCGATCTATACATCTAAGTACCAGCGACGCGGCGAAAACCCTGCGAAAAAACGGTAGCTTACCACCTATCGCCTTTACGATTACAGAAAGGCCGTCTATCCGTTGCGCAAACTCACGAAGGTGACCATATGGCAAACCAAGAGTCAATACTACCACATTCTAAAAGGAAGAGGACCACCATAATGAAACAATGTAGAAATCACCAACGGAAGAGGCAGGAAGATAGGTTGTTGCTGTTCGATCCACAGTAACAAGAGGACTGCGTCTGACCTTTGTATATATCATTTTCTGTACCTGGGTACTTCAGATTTCATAGTGGGTGTGACGAACGCAAAGCTAGATACTGTTAGTCAAAGTCTTCTGCACAAGAAACTTCGTTCGAAATCGCCATCCGACACCGCAGAAAAACTCATAATGATCTTTCAGATCATTTCATCTACAAGATCGTAACCATCTACAGAAGAAGTGCCAACAGTATCCGCAGGCGCAGCATTCGGACCAAAAACGCAGCTCTCCTCACCAAGAATTTCCGAAAACTCGACATCGTGCTCCTGGACCCCTTGGATCGCATATACCAAATCTTTCTCAACAAAGTTCTAGAAGCAATCTCGGTCAACGTCAACACCAAGGCAATGCAAGAAGAATTTGACCGTGGTTCCAAGGTCATTCACTCGGGGATCATGAACAGCATTCTCTCGCGTAGCGGACAATTCTCTTCGATATCCTGGAGGCACATGCGATGAAGCAATCGGACACAAAGATGAACTTCTTGGATGGGGTTAATGCCTCGCTTTTGGAAGTGGAGAAACATGCCATGGAGTGATTTCGGGGGCAGATCTGCACGAGAGAGTGATTGAGGGTGAGAGGTGATCTCTGTATTGAATTCTTTGAAAAAGAGAGTATATACACAAAAAGGTGTAAAGTGAATGAGTGGATACATCATCGCCGATCTCGAGATTCCAGGCAACCATATGCTCTTCTAAGATATCCCATTTCCAACTTGCCATTATTCCATGTAGCCCATCTAACAAGCGGCGATATCAGCAGGAGTGTAGATACAAGCGGAGCTAGGACCCTCGCTGATCTGCTTAGGTTCAGCACCAGTATCGTTGCCCTCAAACTCCTCGCAAATAGCCTTTGTATCCGTGATACAAGAGTTGGTGATTGTCGCAGTATCTCCGTAGTTGGTGTTTATGCCAACGAAAGTAGCTTTTCCACCCGTAGCCTTCACACCGTCGATCTTTACATGGCGCTCACCCATTGTCTTGCAGTTACCACATGATCGGTATAGCTTGCCGAAGTCAGAGACAGTGAAGCCGCTGACTGTAATTGTGCCGGCACCGTTGTGTTGGATGACTTTGTCGGATGCGCCCATAGCTCCACCACCAGTGACTGTGCCATCACCGTCCTTCTTGAAGGTAAGAGCGTCCTCGCAAACATCTTCCCACCAGACGTTCTCGATGGTGCAAGGACCTTGGCAGTGTACACCCTCGATCTGATCGGCACCGATGATGACGTTACGGAGAGTGGCGCCAGCTGCAAGAGAGAATACTGCATCGCTGTCTCCTCCTTCTGATTGTCCTGTGCAGGATACGCCACGACCGAAACGTTTCATGCCACCATCGAACTCGCCTGTTACCATCATGGTCTTGGTAAGGGTTGATTCGCCAGCTGCTGCTGGCATGGTGCCGCTTGCTGCAGTACCACCAGAGGCAGGTACCGTGGAGTTACCCGATCCAGAGCTTGGTGCAGAGCTACCGCCTGAGCCAGAAGAAGACTCTCCACCTGAAGACGAGTCGCTACCGGAGGATGATTCGCCGCCTGATGATTCACCACCCGAGGAAGACTCATCACCAGAAGAAGAGTCGCCGCCTGAGCCAGAGGACGAATCTCCACCCGAAGAAGAGTCGTCGCCAGACGAGGAATCGCTGCCGCTGCCGCTGCCGCTCTCAGTGCCTGAGCCAGACTCCGAGCTCGAATCGCCACCCTCAGTTGGAGAATCTGCCTCTTCATCCCCACCAGAGCTCGAGCCAGAGTCACTGGACTTTTTGTCATCGGATGTGCTATCGTCGGAGCTACCTCCAGTGCTATCGCTTGCGTCGTCAGAAGACTCGTCGCTAGAGCCAGACGAGTCTGAAGTGTCTTTCGATTCGTCCGTGGAGTCGTCCTTGGATTCAGATGAATCCTCTGAAGAGTCTGTAGAGTCCTTTTTGTCGTCATTGGAACTGGACTTTTTATCGTCCTTACTTTCTCCAGAGGTCTCCTTGTCGTCGGACGAATCAGAGGCTTTGTCACCTCCGTCGGACTTGGCTTTCCAGACCCAGTCGAAGAGTTGGCGTTTAGTGAAGGCAGGATCGGAGACGAGAGACCTTCGCTTGTTGTCGTTTTCGTTCTCGTTTCCAGGCAGGTAAGTGGGAATCGCAGTCATTTCAGGATTGGATGGCTGACCACCAGAGCCCGGGAAGCTTCCTGTGGGAGCACTGCCATCAGTAGGGAAAATACCAGAAGCACCGCCATATTGTTGGCCACCCCGTCCCGCACCGTTCTCCATGCCATTGCCGGGGTGCTTTGCGCCATGGTTGAGGCCATTGGCCTCTGTACCGTTGTGGTGACCACCACGATGACCACCACGATGACCGTGAGCGCGGGTAGGGGCAGGGGCAGGAGCTGCAGAGGCAGAGACGATCAAAGCCGCGGTGGCGACAGTGGAGAGAGAGAAACGCATATTTTATAGGTTTTCGAAAAGGTTTTGGAAGTGAATGTTGTAAAGAAAGTTGAAGAATGAAGGTATTGTCCAGCAAAGATGACACAGTCAAGAAAAGAAGGGTGACCGGCACAAAGCTGTAGAAGACAAAGAAGAGAGTGAAAGTGTAGGAGGCAAGGAAGAGATCGTTGGTCCTGATGAGGATGAGGATTCTGTAATGCGCTGGCTTCAAACGCCTTTATAGTCATCCTGCCTGGAGTGATTACTCCTCATCTACTCATGTCCCATGTCCATGGTGTAGGACGATGTTTCCACACACCCTGAACTCCAAACTACCAAGTGCAGGTCACCTACCGTCGCTTGAACTGCGGGTGGGATGCGATCAATGCAACGCCAGAGTAGGTCCGAACACTCGTGGGGCTGTGAATCCAGAAAACACATAGACGAGGACTAGTCTAGCGTCCCGAGAAGAACGCCGTGTTTGGTTTGCGCGTCCAGTTCTCGAAACCGATGGTCCGGCATCTGACAATCTACGCGAGCGATGCGTTTAGTTTCATGCCTAGGATGTTAGTCTTGGCGGCTGTGACAGCTATATTGTGTGCACCTGTTGGCGGTGACACTAGAAACGTCGCGCCTGTCAGTAGATAGCCTGGAGGTTCTATGCGTCTGGGCATTCCACGTCACGCGTTTCAAGTACGCGACCGCACGAGGTAAGGCTGCATACGTCGAAACTGCCAAAGACACAATTTTCTAAGACGAACATCAGTGTGAAGTAATACTATGATTGATTTGGGCTGTGTCTGTCCCGCCTGCATCTAGACTGCTACCAATTCCCCTACCTTATACCTAGCAAAACTCTATCTTCAGGAGAGCCTTTTCAAAGATCGTCCAGTCCAGGGAATCAAGTGGATCATATATGCGTGGTTTCCTAGGTTCTCCGTTGTCGCCTATGAACCCGGCCAGATTCTTTTGCATGTAACAACGAAGATCGTCTTTGAGTCCAGAAGTCGGAAGGTTCGAATGATACATCGTGCTGAGTCCCTGGGTCTGCATGCGCTCGATGTGATAATCACCATGCCCCGCGTTATGAATGTGGGGTAGGATCCGCACTGATAATGGCTGTTGTGAAAAGGCGAATCGTTCCCATATATCGATCAATTGGAACGGTTCAACTGCATAGCCGGTTGCAAATCGGAGTTTGAGGGCAAGATCAACACTCATGGCATGTTCGCCGGCGTTACCAGTTCCGATCATTGTATCTGGTGTAGTGCCACCCCCAAGGGCTTTCAGAAGGCGGTTCATCCATTCGTTGACGACGCGCGAGGAGCGCCCAAGCTCGTTAAACACAAGTTGGCCATCCTTGACCTTGGGCTTCGAGTTCCACTTGATGCGCACCATCGTATATTGTTCTTTTCCAGCATCATCAGCTTTTCGTAAGGCGTAATGTAGTCCAGCGGCATATACCTTACAATATTCGAGAACAGATCCTGGAACGCGGTTATCGGCGTCGATAAAACCTACGAACTTATGGTTCATATGTTTCGCGATGATCACACCAAGCATCATGGCTTCTCCTTTTCCGTTGTTGATGCGCAGAGGATCTCCTTGTTCTACACGTGGCTGTAACATGTCCGTCACACCTGCTTCCTTGAAAGCGCGAGCGAAAGTCGGCGAACCTTGGTGTTCCACGATTACGTCACGATCGGCCATATCCCGAAGTTGAGTAGGAGTTTGCGCTCTGCCTCAAAGTTCAGCTGGTCGCTGTTGGATATAAAGATAACGAGACACCGGTGTGGAACGCCACGCAGAAGCGCTCGAAGAACGTGTTCATCTTCGTTCATGCAAGGAATTACAATGGCGAGGTTGCGTTCAACTTCCTCAATTGAGTTTCGGGGGATGACGACGTTCTTCTGATCTATCGAGATGTTTTCTGTGCCATCTCCTGAGGTGTCCTGACCCTCCGTGTCGAGCTCAGAAACAAAGGACATTTCGTGTAATTTTACGTTCCCAACATGGGTAACTCCAGGGCGGATACTCAACCTCGGAGTGAGTGTATCTAATGTAGTATAGAGGGTTGAGTCGATCTTGTAGTGGTATATACCAGGGTCGTCATATAGAACTCATATATAGGGAAACATGGCAGTCGTTGTGAAAAACTGGAGTCAATGCCTACACAGATTCACAACACTGTAGTGATAGATTAACACAGCGTATATACAATGAAAAGGATGTACCTAGCTCTTTTGTGTAGCTGAAGAGACAATCAAGTACACAGTACTTAAGTCTGCGAATGATTTTCGACAAACAGTTTGGCTGAAGGCGGTCCTCTCAAGAGAGCCTGATTTCGACCTCGAGTTGCCAAAGCATTGTTCGGCATATCTTGAGTCAACCGCAACAGATATCTGAGATCCCGTTTGGCTGGAAAGCATATCCCAACGCTGTCATCACAGCTCCTTGTTCGTGGCTTTTTCCAGCGTGCATCTTGGAAGGCGGAAACCGTTTGGCAGCGCTTATCGTGGTACGCTGGTCGTATTCGAAATCCTGAATAAAAGCACCGTTTCGACCGAAGCAATGTATACCAAGTCTGTCACTGATGTGGCCACCGAATTGTTCTGGGGGTGATTATGGCGATGCTGGATTGACAACAATACATTGTGAATGTATTGGCCGTCGCGTGGTTGACGAAGCCATAGTTTTCATGGTGCTTCTCCGGTTGACTATGGTCCTGATTCCATCCCATATCGTAGACGTGAACCCAATAGCGGCCGATCTAGCGACTTCGATTAAATCTTCTTTTGACTTGACCGTCTTTCGCATGTACCCAGCAGTGAGGTAATCGTCACCTTCCTCGCAAGCGAGTCCTTCCATGTCTTGTTGACTGCCTGGCTTCTGTTCGAAGATGGGTGAGTGGAGCTGTCAGTAGATAGGTTAGGAATGTCACGCCTGTCAACGAGCGGATCGAAACATCGGTATTACAACAGTATTCAACATGCATGTCGCACATAGCCCAGTATCAAGCTGTGAAAAAGTCCGCAAAGGATTGTCGCATGTAGCCAGCGTGTGAAACGATGGATGCCATTCTCGCAAACGAGTGCTTCCATGCCTTATCAAATACCGGCTGTAATTTCTCTTGGAGGATACTTTGAACTGCGATCAATACCCACGAAGAGTTCTCGCAGTCCCTTTGAGTACTCCGGTCGCTATGACGTTTGTGTACGTGTCGTGATTCTTCCCAGCGCATGTAGCATACTGGTGTCTTTTCGTCTGGTGCGTCGTCGTCGTCGGTACTGCCGCAGCCTTTCAAGCGCGCGCTTCCATCAGAGTATCGGATAGACGGAGACTTGAAACAAAAGGCTCACTCGTCTCCTGTAATAGTGGACGCGACTGCATAGTTTGGCGCGCGACGTTGACGCGCGTAGTGTTGTTGGTGAAAGGTAATTTCACAAGCGAAGTTTGTCCAGTTGTAGCTCGGCTATCCGCTGGAGCTCTGGCCTTGTCCAAACGCCTCCATGACGTCTGCAGCTGGTGACACAGGACGCGCGATGCGGATCCGTCTCCGCGAACCATGAAAGCTTTCCCCGCGTTTTCAATGCTTTTGTGCTATTTCCTGAATCCTTTTTAAGCCGCCATTTCCCCGAAGTTGTTGCGATGGCCTCAAGTGTCAATCCTGACAAGATGAGCTACATCTACAACTCGCAGCTCGTGAGCGCTTCTAGCATGTGCAGGTCGAGCATACACTGACCACCACCAGGACGCCTTCACCCTCTACCACATTTCCCACGAAAGGGAGGAACATAGCGCTGTCGGCACTGCGCTCCCTGCCCTCGGCCACGCCACGTCTGGCGCTCTAGGCACCGTTATATCCAAACTCATAACATACCCTCTGGACGTTGTCATCACGCGCCTCCAGGTCCAGCGCCAATTGCATCCTGGCGACAAGCACCCGCACTACAATGGCTTTTTCGACGCCATCGAGAAGATATACGAGAGGGAGGGTGGGCCCAGGGCCTTCTATACTGGTGTCGTGCCCGAAGCTCTCAAGGGCGTCGCCGACAGCTTCCTGTTCTTCCTGGCGTATTCGTACGTGCGACAGAAGAGGCTCGATGCGCGAGATAGTGGGCGCAGCTTGCCTGCGCTCGAAGAGATCGGCGTTGGTGTCCTGGCAGGCGCTTTCTCCAAGTTCTTCACCACACCCATCCAGCAGATCGTTACCCGGAAGCAAACGGCAGCAATGATGAAACAGGAGTCTTCGACCACCATACCCCCACTTTCCAGCACTAGAGATATCGCATGGGAGATTAGGCGCGAGAAGGGTGTGCAAGGCTTCTGGTCTGGGTACTCCGCTAGTCTGATCCTGACCCTAAACCCTTCAATCACCATGCTGCTGCACAAGGCTCTCCTGCGACTAGTCGTACCCAGGGCAAATCGAGACAATCCCGGAGCGCGTATGACCTTCCTCCTGGCTGCCATAAGCAAGGTCCTCGCCTCCACCGTCACCTATCCGTTCTCGCTTGCAAAGACACGCGCCCAAGTGTCTTCACAGGAACCTTCTTCCGGAACCGGTGAGACTTCGGACAAAGAGAAGTCTAACGATGCGCTTGGATCTAGAGCCTTACAAGCCAGGCAGCGGACCGTATTCAGTACTATCTTGCGCATCGCCCAGACGGAAGGGATATGGGGCTTGTACCAGGGCCTTGGAGCGGAAGTGCTGAAAGCCTTCTTCTCTCACGGCATCACGATGCTGATGAAGGACCGTATCCATGCTGTCATCATCAGTCTGTACTACACCGTGCAGAATGCGCTGAAGAAATACCCTAGCCCGAGCGAGGTCGCAAAGTCGGCATCAGACAGTGTTCAAAATGCCTACGAACAAGGCAAGGAACAAGCTAGCGAGGCGTATGCGAAGGGTGCCGAAGTTGTCGGCAATGCGACAGAATCTGCAAAACAGGTCGTATCGCAGGGCTCACATGAAGCGCAAGAGCTTGTAGAAAAGGGTAGACAGCATGCTGCTGATGCCTACTCGAAAGGCGCGCAAGCAGCAGAAACAGCAACGGCGTCCGCTCAGGATGCTGTGCATAGCGGGACGCAGCAAGCTGGGCAGGTGTACGAGAAGAGCAGAGAGGCCGTTGGTAATGCTGCTAGCAGTGTCTACGACCAGGGCAAAAGTGTCTTAGACAAAGGCCAGAGTGCTGCATGCAACGCAACACAGCAAACTGGAGATGCGTTTGAACAGGGCAAGCAGACAGCAAGCGACGCATCGCAGCAAGCGAAGGACGCTGTTCTAGACGCGGACATCGAGGACATCAATGGTCCCGACAAGGGCATCAAGGAGTGAAGCAGAGGGCGGATGATTTTACCTAACACGTTCAGACTGTACATATACCCGATTGATTTATACTTGTAATGTTTGAATGGTGGGTTTCTTTTGCTATAGTTCGGCGTCAAAAAAAAAGCGTGGCCAGCTATGGTAGATGATGCATAGCAGCAAATAATTTCCGGGTGAACTGTCCATCTACCTTGGGCGATCTGAAACGTCAGGGTATCCGTATCCACAGCCACGCTTCACGCAAGTAATGTGTCTACCGAGCTCGAAAGCGTCCCAATGATGTGCCGTCTGTGTGCGAGCTACACCAAGAAGGCTGGTGCCAGGCTCGAAATAGAGTCGGGTGGTCGAGTCGAACAGGATTTTCAGCAGGCGGCTGGGGCTTTGTTGTCTCTGCTGCGCTGGCTATTGTGGAGATGCTTGGTCACGGTATGTCCCATGTGTCATCCCGGTGGCTGGTTGCAGCAAGGTGCCCGTGGTTGCCCTGGAGGCCAATGCGCTAACCACCTGGCTCCGCGCCCGCAGCGCCTCCATCAACAACCACCGCTGGCGACACATTCGACTGCATGCCGCAGTTGAGCGGCCTACTAACTACTAACCTGCACAGGAACAGGGAAAGCATTGTTGCGACGACATTGTGAGTGCTGAGAGCTGGCTGGTAGCATCAGACAGTCGGCGGCGCATGACTGGCGACAACACACGGCATTGGACAAAAGTGGAATCGTCAACATCCCGGACGTTGAGAGGGCAGCAGCAGCCCACGCGCACACCACCCAGCGGCGCATATCTATGTCGTAGGCGCCCGTGACGACATAGAACCGCGACCGAGTAGTTGTCTTTTGACATTTCGTCACCGCACCCCGCCTAGCTCATTCCCCTGATCTCCACGAGCTGTCCGCTGCCGCTGTCGCAGCCCAACCACCACACCGCCACAGCCACCATGACGACCAACGCTGCTCACTCTTCGCCGAGCCGGGGAAGATGGAGCAGCCTCGAGGAGGAACTAGCCTACTACAAGGCCCAGTACGAGACGCTCGAGACGGAACTGCAGGAGTTTCAGGCATCAAGCAAGGAACTAGAAGCCGAGCTCGAGCGCGATGTCGAAGAGAGCGAGAAGCGGGAGCGCAAGCTGCAAGAGAAGGCGGAGCGGCTGGGATTTGAGGTCGAGGAGTGGAAGGTGAGTGATTTCGGTCGCACGCGGAGCGGATATCTGCCTAGCTCGGACGATTGCTAACGAGACATCACAGACAAAGTACAAGCAGAGCAAGACCGAGGCCAACAATGCGCAGAACACTCTGCAGAAGGAGATTACCGCCATGCGCGAGAGTCAACGAGCCCTCCAGATGCGACTCCGGGACATCGAAGTCCAAAGCGACGATTTCGAGCG